TTCTAGACAATGTGTTCTAGGTCAGTGGTCAGCAAACTCATTAGTCAACAGAGCCAAATATCAACAGTACAACGATTGAAATTTCTTTTGAGAGCCAAATTTTTTAAACTTAAACTCTATAGGTAGGTACATTGTTATTAACTTATTAGGTACTCCTAAGCTGGCCTTTGCTAGAAACGTCCTCAATCTGATTGAGGTACTTTTGCTGAGGTCGACCCTTCCAACTCTCCCATCCACACTTGTCATCTGAAACAAGTATACAAGACGAGTGTGGATGCGAGGGTTGGAAGGGGTCGACCTCAGCGAATGCACCTCAAAACAATGTACCTCCCCTCCGCTGCATATCCCACGGCCTGCCTGTGCCGCGTCTCCTGTCGCTGGACAGGTCGACACCTCCCACTTCTTCTAACGCCACTTCTTCAAAATAGACTCGCCCAGGCCAAAAACCGACTTCTGTGCATGGGCCATGAAGTTTCAATCGCACTGTACTTGCGCGCCCACAAGCAAAAATGTGGTATTTTGTGGAAGAGCCACATTCAAGGAGCCAAAGAGTCACATGTGGCTCGCGAGCTGCGGTTTGCCGACCACTGTTCTAGGCTGATAGGTAGTTTCACCACGTTGAAGATATAAGACATAATTTCACTGTATCATGGCTTTTATGGTTGTTGCAACATCACCTGTCAATCTAATAGGTGCTTCTTTGAAGACAATCATTTTTTTTTCTCTCCCTCTTGCTGTTTTTAGGATTTTCATTATGCTAGGTATAGATGTAAGTATTTTGAAAACACCTGCTAGTGATTTGTTGGGATTCTTGAATCTGTGGATTATGACTGCACTGTGAATACATTTTCTAACCTATTTTTTCGGTTTATCAGCTCTCTCATTAGCTTTAATACTCTTAACGTTTCCATTGAGTTTTTAATCTGTGTGGTTTTTGCCAGTGTTAGTTGTTGATTTTTGTTCTATTCAAATTAGTTGATCTTTTTTTGAGTTTTCTGTGCTCTGCAGGTATTATTATAAGTTTGTCTTTTGTTTCCTTAAACATAGTAAGCTCAGTTGTTTTATTTTGTGGGTCTGATAATTCAAATATATAATTGTTTGTGGATTTGTTTTTGTAGTCTGTTGTTCCTGTTATCTTGTTTCCCTTTGTGTCTGATTATTTTTTATGGTGTGTTTGTCATTATATTTAAATATTATTTGTAGATATGATTTGAGGCCTGTAAATTTTTTCCTCCTGGAATAGTTTGCATTTTTACTTTCAAAAGCCTCTGGGTAATAATAATAATCTAAAATCACCTTAAATAAAATGTAAGAATTAAGATAGACCATTGAAGAGATTCAAAGGTGGGTTATAATCTGCATGAGGGCTGGTTTACTTCTGGTTTACCTGTACTCCAAGGATATAACCTTTTGGGATCCCAGCTTATTGAGGAAAGGGTTTTCTACTAGATTTCTCACTTTTCACACTCTGGGAGTTGAAACATGAAAACAAAAGTTTGAATCTTGGAGAACAGCAAATGCTTTCAGAGTAAAGTAGCTCCTAAGTTCTGCCTATCTCTCTGAGTTCTAGTTCTTCAAATTTAACTAGTATCTTCTTCTCTTTTAATAATATTTCAGGACATTTTGTTCAGCATTTTAGTTGTTGGAGTATGGGGTGAGTTTGAATAACCTGGACTGCCATAACTGAAAGCTAGAATACCTGTGTGTATATTCACAAGCAAACCCCAAGTTGAAAATCTATTCCCAAGTAATATGAGAGATATACATTGAAGTCTACAGATATTAAGAAAAATAAGTAACTTGTGGCAAATCTTAAATAAAATTAAGGCAACTGTGATAAATCTTAAATAAAATTAATAAAAAATCTTAAGTAAAATTTTAAATAAAATTTGTGCAAGTAGAGTTGTAGCAAATGAATCCTCCTGTATAATGCTAGTCATATTATAAATTGGAGCAGTTCTTTCAGCATTAGTAGATGCTTTAACAAATTATGATAGATTAACACTATGGCCTTTTATACCATCATTACAAAGGATAATTATGATGACTATGTTAAAATGGAATGTTTATAACATTAAATGATGATGGAGGAAAACAAAATAATATGCTTGCTATATAAAACAAATATGTATCTGGATGAAAAAAAGCAAAAATATTTCAGAATAAAGATAGAGATTTTAAAACAAGTAGAAAACACATGATAATATTTTCCCCAAACAATTTCGGCATAAAAATTTCTCACATTAAAAGAAAAGAAGAAAAAAAGAAAGGCAATGAGCAGTTTGAACTTACCCTATATAATAAAAGGGTAATATGCAAATTGACTGAACGAGGGAATGACAGGTCACTATGATGCACACTGACAACCAGGCGGCAGATGCTCAATACAGAAGCTGCCACCTGGTGGTCAGTGCACTCCCACAGGGGGAGTGCTGCTCAGCCACAAACTGGGCCTAAGCTGTCAGTTCGACATCCCCCGAGGGCTCCCAGACTGTGAAAGAGGGCAGGTCAGGTTGAGTAATCTAATAACTTAAAATCTGTAGCCAGGCCCAAACCATTTCAGTCTCCTCCTTCTGTGATCCCTATGTAGCTCACAAAAACAACCTTGGCTTCCTAGAAGATTAAAATTACTTTTAAAAAAAATGAAACAGCAAGCAAAAATCTAGGGCCTTACTTTTTTTTTTTTTATCAGACTTTAATTTAGTTTTCAATGGATGAGGTTCCGAAAAGACACACATTTCTGTCATTTGAAAATGATGCATCTGTTCTTTTACACTCTAGCAAGAGAGTATAATATCAATGTATGTTTAAATATAATCACTTATTTTTAGTTTAAGCTATTTGTACTTTTAAGAATTTTTTTCTTAACTGCATCATTCCCAAAATCTCTTCCCCAAACTTTCATTGTTTGACGAAGTGCAAATCCTCCCTCAATTTCAATATTAAAAATCATTTCATCAAAGTGGCATTTTCTTATTTAAAAAAATATTTTTATTGCTTTCAGAGTAGCAGGGAGAGGGAGAGAGAGATAGAAACATCACTGATGAGAGAATATCATTGATTGGCTGCCTCCTGCATGCTCCCTACTGGGGATTAAGCCCACTACCTGGGCATGTGCCCTGACTGGGAATCGAACAGCGACCTCCTGGTTTATAGGTCGATGCTCAATCACTGAACCATGCTAGCCAGGAAAAGTGGCATTTTCTGATTCGACAATAGAAATTAGAACCAATATCACCACCTTTATTCAATTAGTAGTCCATTCCTTACACAAATTATGGTGCATTATTACATATTTATTTATTTACCATCTCTTTCCAAAATGGAAACTGCCAAAGGGCAGGAACCATATCTGTTTCATTCATACTCTGTAAATATATTATCTGATATACTGCATATTATATATTCATACTAGAGGCCCGGTGCACAAAAATTTGTGCACTCGGGGAGAAGGTGGGGTCCCTCAGCCTGGCCTGTGCCCTCTCACAGTCTGGGACCCCTTGGAACATAATGCCTTGCTGGCTTAGACCTGCTCCCGGGTGGCAGAGGGCAGGCCCAATCCCTAGGTGCAGCCCCTGGTCGGGCTCAGAGCAGGGCCAATTGGGGAGTTGGGGCG